ATATATATATATATGCATGAATACGAATTATATTACTAATATAACATACAGGATGTATTTTAAAATATGCGAGGAAAAAAAAAAATTCATTCGAACACATATGGTGTAATATTTTTTTTTTTTTAAACGAACGAGATTTTTTGCCTTTTTAAATGAACGAGATTTTTTGTTTTTTAAACGAACGAGATTTTTCATTTTTTTGATCTTTTTTACAAGAAATCACCCTTTATAAAAAAAATCACATACATACACGTATTTTAAAACATCCTACATATTATTAGTAATATAATTTATCTTTATATATGTATAAATGTGTATATATATATATATATATATATATATATATATATATATATATATGAATAAATACACGGCACTGCTACACTTCCTTTTCTAGTACGTTTTAAACTACACTTTTTTTATTGGCTCGGAGGCTACCTTTTTATATTTTTATTGTAATGTGTAAATATAATTAAAAAAATTAATAATAATAATAATAATAATAATAATAAAAAAACTAGGAGGTGCGTCAGGGTGCATGTTATATTGAGAATTAAACGTGAAAAAAAAAAAAGAAAGAATTGAAATGAGAAAAATGTTAAAAGTAAAAAAAGATGATTAAATAAGCGTATGATTAGAAAATAAAAGAAAATGAAAAAAAGAAATAATAATAATAAAAAAAAGATAAATAAATAAATAACGAAATGATTTATAAATGTGTGTGAGTGTGTGTATAGGTATAATATAAAGTGAATTTAATCTGAAATTTTCGTTGGCGTATATAATTAATAAACATAATTAATATAATACATATATACATATATGTATATATGTATATGTATGTAATCTTTCGCAGAGTGATTAATCAATGTTAATATTTTCTTTTTTTTTTTTTTTTCATAAAACACGTAAACATTGCTTCGCTTCGTAACGTCACTCTAATTCAAACTGTTATTATTACTATTAATTATTATTATTATTATTATTATTATTATTATTATTATTATTATAATATATAATAAGCTTCGCTACGGTAAAAGAGGAAAATTACAAATATAAAATAAAAAATTGAAAAACAAAAAAAAAGAAAATGATGAAAAGACAAATTAACAAAAAGTTTAACCATTTCTTGCTCACATCCACAACTAACTACGTACATTTATTTATAATAAATAAAAAATTCAATAAACAAATAAATAGCGGCCAATGTATGTATATACTTTTAGGAATGCGTGTGCCTAATTTTTTGTCTATAACATATATATATATAT